TTGCTTGGCCATTTGTTGTGATAAACAGGAAAGTGTGTTCAAGCGCCAGCAAAACAGTGTAAAGAAATACTCTTTGTGAGAAGCAGTCAATCAGCAGAAGTTAAAAGCAGCTTGTAAGTGTATTTATTTCTTGTCTCAGTGTTTAGCGCAGTTGTCGTTGCTAGGAAACACTTGTTTTGTTTACTGTGGATCTATGAGTATGTCATGATCTATAGTGTCGAACGCAGCACTAAGATCAAGTAAAACTAGCAATGCAGCCTTGGTCTGACGCAAGAAGCAAGTCATTTGTAATTTTAACAAGTGCAGTTTCTGTGCTATGGTGGGGCCTGAAACCTGACTGAAATTCAGTCAGTATATAGTCTTTACCAATACCAATATAGTCTTTGGCATTACTTACTATTGGAGAAGGCGTAACGGCTAACTTGGATCACGTGTGCCTTAATAACCAATCACATTACAGCCTTGACGCAATTGAATTTCATAACAGCTAAGGGGGTTTTAGCTGTTATGACACTTCGCGTCGTGCCTAACAACGGCCCTTAGCTGTTATAAATTCACTTTAAACCATGGTTTCTTGGGGCTTATTGCTTTATTATTCTTTGCTGAAACTTCCGCATCGTCATGGAGAGCGCAGGTCATGGTTGCTTAGCAACGGCAGACGCAACGGGAGCGCAAGCTACCGAGCGCTTTGGAAAGAAGAAAAAAGTGGTGCAGCTAGCGTTTTCCACGCGTTTTTAGGCGCGACATGTGAACGGCCCCTTATGCTGTCTACACTGGATGCGGCGCAGTGCGACAAATTCCCGACAGCAAACTGCTGCTGCGTTCTATTTATGACGTACTGACACAAATTTCAAATGATTTTCAACGGTCGCTTTGTCGTGTCCAGTGTAGACAGACTTTAGCTGTTGCGGCGCGGCGCGACACGACAACTGTCGCGTCCAGTGTAGACACGGTGTAAGACAAAAAGAGAAAAGTTAACCACATCATGTGAATCAGGTTTTAAAGAGACAGTGCTGCTAAAGTGAAACCTGCTGCAGTCTGTAATTGATGGAAATCACAAAACAAAAGAAAAAGAGAAATCACTCACTGCTCTGCTCACTGATTCACTTTTGTAGCTTGAATAAAGATTAATCTATATTCAATTGATAGTTTATGGCATAGGCTATACAGTCTATAGTTTGTGAAGAATGTTTTAAGTTCACTATTTTTCAAAGCCTATTAAATGTTAAAAATAAAGGATTTCATTCTGTAATGTTGAATGGCTATAATTAATGGCTAAAATTAAGGGTGGAATAGGCAGGGGTTAAATTGGGACGGGGGCTTGACATATAGGCTTACCCTGGTAACTCATCAGAGAACTTCGTGGGGAAGTCGTGGCCTAATGGTTAGAGGTTGTGGGTTCGAGTCTCGTACCGGCAGGGATTGTAGGTGGGGGGAGTGAATGTACAGCGCTCTCTCCCACCTTCAATACCACGACTGAGGTGCCCTTGAGCAAGGCACCGAACCCCCAACTGCTCCCCGGGCGCTGCAGCATAAATGGCTGCCCACTGCTCCGGGTGTGTGTTCACTGTGTGTGTGTTCACTGCTGTGTGTGTGCACTTTGGATGGGTTAAATGCAGAGCACTAATTCCAAGTATGGGTCACCATACTTGGCCACATGTCACGTCACTCACTCACTTTCCTCGTACATTTTCAACATTATAGGCTATAGTTTTAAACAATTTACTCTTACTAATTCAAGCAATGATGCAACGCAGGTGTTTTTATATGTATCTCTAAAATGAACCGAGTGTCTTCAGAAAAGTTTCGATTGCATTTCAACTTTACCTGATGTTAATGAGCGCAGCGCTGCTGTGTTTACAGCCGTTTCTGGGGAAACCATTCTATGTTTGACGTTCCAAAAGTGCCTCCTACTGGCAGAGAATCAAATTGGATTTTCAATGAGCCTGTCTACTGTGTCCCCCCATCCGCCCATATAACCCTGTTTTAAATTAATATAATAATTCATACTTCTGACTCAGAATCAGAATCAGAATGAGCTTTATTGCCAGGTATGTTTACACATACGAGGAATTTGTTTTCGTGACAGAAGCTTCCACAGTGTAACAGAATGACAGTGACAGAACAAAAAACACAGATAATAAAGAGATTCGCCAGATGGATTCTAGGCAACGGCGTTCTGAATCCACGCTTCCTGAGCTTCACGAGCGCGCCGGCTCTCTTCCCCCATCTGCGTGTCGGCGCCATCTTGGACTAAAATAGTTTAAAAGCTGAAATGTGAGGTTTATCATTTTATATATACATTTTTATATATATTTTATATATTTATATTAATTTATATTTTCATTGCTCTTTTTTTTATTTTGATTGCTTCCATTCTCCTCATTTGTAAGTCGCTTTGGATAAAAGTGTCTGCTAAATGACTAAATGTAAATGTAAATGTTTTTTTTTTTTTGTGAAAACCTGTATCTCACCTGTAATTAAGTCATGCTTTTATAGTAATTTTACAGTTTAATATGTTACCATAGACATTATTGATTTTTATTTTTAAATTAATTTTTGCAGGTCTTAAAAAGGTATTAAAACCCCTTCAATTTGATTTTACAAATCCTGCAGACAGATGTAGCTTTGCATACTACACCCCCCCCCCCCC